AAGGGGGCTTTCTGCTACAAAGCCATAATCAAACAGACATTCCTAACTGAACAGACGTTCACAGCACATAGAGCATTTTATAAAAGGTAGATCCCATTCTAAATTAACCCTGGCTGGATGTGGTATCAAACTAAAGCAGTTTACATTAGAGCACTTTATTGAATGTCTGTACTACATCCCATCCTGAGTTAAGGTAAACCACATCCCCCCAGTATCCCAGGGGCCCCTCACTGGGCAGCCTGCTAGCCTCAGCTAGTGCTTGTCTGCTCGGTAACTGTGGTTGGGGGAGGCAAATGAAGCCTCTCTGCCACACGGACCCAGCCTGGCCTGTGAGACCCATGCCTGAAAACTTGGGGGGGGTGGAAGGGAAATCAGTGTTGAGAGGCTCTGTTCCCCCAGCTGTAGCCAAGAGCAGCCATTCCAGGAGCTGTGGTGTGTGAGAGGGCTAGTGGGGACAGAGACCCTGTGCCACATGGGCCCCACCACAGCTTGGAGGAAGACCAGGGGGACAAACCTTCAGAGTAGCAGCAGAAAGGCATCAACCATAGCATCACCTGCAAGGACAGGAGTGGGAGAGAAAAAAAAAAGATGCTAGTGGAGGGAACATCAAAGGGAATTTACATCCATCTCCCTGCTCCACCTCCTTGCTCCTTTCTCCAACAGAGCACACAACACTCACAAAAAATTAGGGTTGGCAGGGACCTCAGGAGGTCATTTAGTCCAAACCCCCTGCTCAATACAGGAATATCCCCAACTAGATCATCCCAGCCAAGGCTTTGTCTCACCAGGTCTTAAAAACTTCCAAGGATGGGAAGTCCACAACCAGGGCTGAATTAATGCACAGGCAGACTAGGCATATGCCTAGGGCCCTAAATGAGGAAGGGGCCCAGTTGTGCTTATTTTACGTATTATAATTATTGAGTGAAAAAAGTAATGTAAGTATACAGTATTAAAAGGGGCCCCTGAGTTGGTTTGCTTAGGACTCACTAAAGGGTTAATCTGGCCCTGTTCGCAGTCTCTCTAGGTAACCTGTTGCAGTGATTTACTACCCTCCTTATGAGAAAGTTCTTTCTAATGCCACTCAGTGGGCCAATGGCTCATTTCACTTCCCACAAAATGAAGCTGCCCATGTGGGGAGACAGGATGGCTGTTTAACAGGGTGCAGTAATATTTATGCAACAGTTCAAGACAGAAAGTGAAGAATCCTACATGTAGTGGCATCTGCAAGGAAAACCTATGGAGGCAGAAAGTAAGTGGTTAAGATGAATTTGGCCTGCATAAAACATCTCTAATGACCAGTAGTACTTAGGGTCCTGGGTCTACAATTCAGTCCTGCTTATAAAAAGTCCCTGTACCAAGGCACTCCCCGCTCTACTGTGCACGGGCGCTGCACTGTTCTCTGTACCTAGATTACCCTTCACAGATGCCTCCTTTTCAATTTGGAGATGCCTCAGGTATTAGCTCAATCAGGAGGGCCCACAGCTTGGCTCTAACCTATGCTGAGCACTTGTCCCCTTCTAGCTCAGGTAACCAGAGCTTGCAGGATATATTCATCTAGCAGCTGCGTGAATCCAACTTGGTTCAGATTCCAGCCAAACATGCCAGTATTATCCTAGGCACATGAAAATTTGGTGAATCTGACTGGTCTCCGTCTGCCTGCCCAAAAGCCCTACAGACGCACCAACTGGTGGGTCTAAGCCGCACTTCGGCTCCATCTGTTCCAGCAGGAGGTCAAGGGAGCGAAAAGAGGTTGGTCCAGCTGCCCTGGGGAAAGATGGTGAGTCAGGGGGTCCTTGAGAAGAGAGGGTGGAAGTGTGCTCCTAGAGAAGCCAAGCATCTAGCAGAGGACTGCCACCACATCCTGGATCCTGCAGGCCTGCCCTTTCCAAGAATAGCTTCCCCATAAATTCCTCCCGTCCTCCTCTTTTGGGCTGACCCTGCCACCTAGTGAATGCCCACAGCACTGCAGGCATGACCCTGCCAGATCAGCCCGCAGGCAGGCACTAGAGATGCTGACTAATGCAAAAAGACCAGTTCTTTCCCCAGGGAAGCTGGAAGCCTGTGCCCAAATCTCAGGACAGCACCTGGAGCAGCCATAGTGGACTCAGCTGGGTGGTACATAACAAGCCCAGGGGACCAGAACTGCAATGTGCTGCTGGAACTGATGGAGCTCTCCTTTAGTGTGCCCATGGGGGCCAGTGCACAGCTGTTCCAGGGTGAGGATGCAGGATAAAATGGACTGAAAGTGCTGTCGAGAGTGCCTCAGTGTTCTTTGCAAGCCTGGATTCATTAACTGGCCTAAGCCTGCCCATGAGAGACAACACAACCTAGTCCTGACATTTATGTATCTAAATTCTCAAAGCTAGTTTAGCCTGCCTGCGTGATGATTAGCAGTGAATTAACAGGTTTAGCGTTACATCGCCCTTTGAAACACAAGAATGGCTTTCATTCATTCCAGTCTGTGACCCAGTCAGCCAGCACCACTCTTTCTGGAGGCCCGTGAACTTCTCTGGACACTGGAGATCGCATTATACAGATGCTCACTGCAAGGAGCCCTGCTGTAAACATAGGGCTAGAGAGCTCTGTCCACCAGGGAACAACCTGTGTGCATCTGCATGTGCCCTCCCCAAACACTCCCATTCCTGCCTGACAAGGGGCAGCCGCAGACTGTGGCCCTCAACCATCTCACGGTCTGATGACTATGGAACTGGCTCTGGGGTCAGACCCAAAGAGTATTGGTTGATGGGAGCAAACCAACTTGACGCAAGGTGACTGGTGGTGTCCCTCAGGGCTCAGTGCTTGGGCCAATACTCTTCAACATCATTAATTATCTGGATTTGAGCATCAGATGCAGACTGGCAAAGTTCACGGATGACACTAGACTATAGGGAAAGGTGGTCACACTGAAAGATAGACTGGGGATACAGGCTGATCTGGACAGGCTCACAAGGTGGGTGGATCAAAACCTGATGGGCATTTAATGCAGAGAAATGCTTGGTGCTTTACCTTGGGAGGAAAAAAACAGCATCATACTTACAGGCTCGGCAGTGCTACACTCGCTAGCACCATGATTGAAAGAGACTTGGGGGTCTTGATTGACCACAAGATGAACATGAGCCACCAATGCGATGCTGTAGCCAGCAAGGCAAACCAAACTCTGTCATGCATCCACTGACGCATCTCAAGCAAAACCAGGGATGTCATCCTCCCACTTTACACAGCCTTAGTGAGGCCGCAGCTGGAGTGCTGTGTCCAGTTTTGAACCCCCCAATTCAGGAAGGACATGCATAAGCTTGAGAAATTTCAAAGGAGAGCCACCCACATGATCAAAAGCCAAGAGAGCAAGCCTCACGAGGAGAAGCTGAGGGACATGAGACTCTTCAGCCTGCAGAAGAGAAGGCTCAGGGAGCACATGGTGGCAACCTGTAAGTATATAGGGATGTACATCTGGATCTTGGAGAAAAAGTTGTTCACCAAGGCCCGCCAAGTGATAACAAGGCTTCTGGAAGGTTGATTTAGACTAGACATAAAGACAAACTTTACAGTCCAAGTGTCCAGGGTCTGGAACAGGCTCCCCACGGAGGTGGTGCCAGCACCTACTCTGGGCTCCTTCAAAAAACATGTGGATGTTTGTCTTCCTGGGATCATTTGACCCCAGCGGACTTACTGTCTATGGGAGCGGGGCTGGACTCAACGATCTCGCGAGATCCCTTCCAGCCCCTATTGTCTATGAAATCTATGGAAACAGGTGTCATTCTAAGGAAAAACTAAAATTATCAGAATCTGGACCAGCTGGAGCAGCTTCCTCACAGTATCATCATTATGCTTCAAGCTTGTTCTGGAAGCTCTCCTTGCATAGGGGACTTCAGATGGAGTACTGCATCCAGTTTAGGGCCCCCCACTTCTGGAGGGATGTGGACAAGCTTGAGAGAGTCCAGAGGAGAGCTATTCATATGATCAGAGGCCAAGAGAGCAAGCCTTAGGAGGAGAGGCTGAGGGACGTGAGGCTTTTCAGTCTGGAGAAGAGAAGGCTTAGTGGGGACTGAGCCTTACAAGAAACAATGGACACAAGCTAGTGGAGGGTAGTTTCAGGCTAGACATTAGGAAGCACTATTTCACTGTCAGGGCGGCTAGGACCTGGAACCAACTTCCAAAAAAGTGGTGCTGGCTCCTATCCTGGGGGTCTTTAAAAGGAGGCTGGACGAACATCTGGCCGGGGTCATTTGACCCCAGTATTCTTTCCTGCCATGGCAAGGGGTTGGACTAGATGATCTCCTCAGGTCCCTTCCGACCCTACCAACTATGAAACTATGACTTGGTGGCAACCTATAAGTATGTAAGGGGGGTGCACCAAGATCTGGAAAAACAGTTGTTCACCAGGGCTCCCCAGGGGTAACAAAATCTAATGGCCACAAACTTCTGGAAGGCTGATTTAGACTGGACATAAGGAAAAATGTCTTTACAGTTCGAGTGTCCAGGGTCTGGAACAGACTCCCTGCAGAGGTGGCGCCTGCACCTACTCTGGACTCTTTCAAAAGGCATTTGGATGCTTATCTTGCTGGGATCATTTGACCCCAGCAGACTGTCTGCCTATGGCAGGGGGCTGGACTCGATGATCTTGTGGGGTCCCTTCCAGCCCTAATGTCTATGAAATCAGTGAAATCTGGGTTAGGACTGAGGGGCACCAGCAGGGCTGGGAGGGGTAAGGGGCTGCAGGTCAGGAGTGAAGAGCTGGGGGGCAGGGGGCTGTGGGGCAGGAGTGGGGGCACTGGCAGGGCTAAATCTGGGTTAGGACTGAGGGGCACCAGCAGGGCTGGGAGGGGTAAGGGGCTGCAGGTCAGGAGTGAAGAGCTGGGGGGCAGGGGGCTGTGGGGCAGGAGTGGGGGCACTGGCAGGGCTAGGGGACAGAGGCTGCAGGTCGGGAGTGCAGGGAGCTAGGCTAACCCACCACCTTTTCCAAGCTGTAAGATGGGACACAGCTGCCTGGGCGGAGCAGGGGGTGGGCTGCACATGCGCATTTTGTATGCTGGGCCCCCGGATGTTGTGGGAAGCAGTGAAATGTTGGAGAGCCCCGAAGCAGAGAGGCCCTGGGCCAGCAGGAGGGACCCGGGCAGGACATAACGGAGAAGCTGCTGGGGGTGTCTGGTCCTCCAACCGCACGAGCTGCCCTGGTGATCCCACGGTCCCCAGGGGCTGGGTTCTCCAGGAGGGGCGTGGGGGAGAAGGGGGGTTGGGGGCTGGGAGCCTGGACACCTGGGTAGGCTGCCCCCTCCATTGCTGCTCCTTGGGTCCGTGGAGATTTAAGCCTCCTGCAGGTGCCAGATGCTGGCTGCCGCGCAGGCTGGGGGTAGGGACTGAACTGTGCCCAGTGGGACTCAGCCTTGGTGCCATCCTGCAAGCCCATAAGCAATGGGGATGGGGGAGCAGGTGGGAGGCCGGATGCCTGGTTCCCTCGCAGCTGTGAGAGGGGAGAAGGGTGCGTGTCTTGGTGGGGCGGGGGTGAAAGCGGTGCCTGGATTCTCTGGCCAGGCTTATGTGGGGAGGAGGGAGGAATAATCATGCATCTTTCTCCCAGGTACCAGAGGCCACCAGGGCTGCTGAGATGTCGATGCACAGATCACTTTCAAAATATGTCGGTATGTCACAGTGCCTTTCAGACAGTGCAGCACATTGTGAATGATTGCCCAATTGGATCACGTAATGGCGATCTAGAATCAATCCATGCAGCTACCCCTGAAGCAGTCAAATGGTTATCAGATTTACATATTAATCTATGAATGTTGTACTCCTAAAATGTCATATGAAAGAAGAAGAATGCCTGTGCTCCGCCGTGTGGCTCTTCCAGGCTGCCGGATGCAGACTCTGCTGGGTGCCCCCCCTTACTGATCCATGTGTTAAGGGGTTTTCCCCTCTCTCAAAGGCACTGGGTATTGGCTGGAGTTGGGATGAGGACTGGGTTGTGCCAATGCTCCTTGGAGGGTCCTGGCTAGAGGGTTTTGCTTCTCCACTCAGGGTCAGATCAGTTGTGGGCAGGAAGGGATTTCCCCCTTGCTCAACCTGGCCCAGCCTGGGGGGGGTTGTCTTCTGCCTGCAAGCGGGGCACAGCCTTGGCCTCGGCTCTCTGAAGCGCCTCTGACCCCCCCTGGCAGCAGGACGTGGTGGCCCTGGCCCTGCTGCTTTCCCCAGGGCAGGTGCTGCCTGGGGTTGGCAGGGGTGATGCTGGCGTTAGAAAGAGGTTAGAGGATGGATGTATCTGGGCTGGTTTGGACAGGGCTGATCTTGCCTCAGGCAGGGGTTGGACTAGATGTGCCCTCTGGGGGTCCCTTCCAGCCCCCCTGGCTCTAGGATTTGGGACAAGAAACCCAGTGTTCTGCACTTCCTGTTCTTAAAACTGCTTCCCCTCCCAATCTGCTTTGTAGGGGTGGCAATAATGGTGGCACTGGGGCTGTGTGCAGTGGTGCTGATGGGGTGATACAATACCAAGTTTGGGGACCAGTCCTACCCAAACAACATCCAGCGGACCGTGACAGTACCTCCTTGGATGAACGACCTCCTGGCACCTTCCTCTAATCCTTGTAAGCAATGGTGGGGGAGCTGAGAGCCCGGATGCCTGGGTTCTCCCCCAGCTCTGGGAGGGGAGTGAGGACTGGTGGGTTGGAGCAGGGGGCAGCTGGGAGCCTGGACACCTCCATTCAAGGGGGTGAGCCCTGTTTTACCCAGTACCAGCTCCACTCCAGAGCAAGCCACATCCCATCCTGGTTATACCCAGCCCCCCTGTGCCTACCCCTGAGCCAGCTACAGCTCAGCTCCCTGCTGTACCCAGCCCCCAGTATTTTCTTACCAGCTGTGCTGCAGGGAGTAGTGGGGGGAGCATGTCTGACTGAACATTCGCGTCTCCTGCAGCTTCCAGCTTCTCCAAGGCTGTGGTTACATCTCCAGTTTCTCCCACAAAGACCAGCCCCGCAGGGGTCATCTTCAGCCCTACCCTCCTCAATGGCCCTACATGTGTCAGCTTCTGCAAACAACAAGGTCGACAGCTGATCAGCTGTGACATGGCAAAGGTAAAAAACTTCTCTCACAGAGAGAAACCTGCGGTGCGGCTGGCTCTGGGGTGGGCACTGGGACCTAGGTATCCTGGGTTCCCTCTGCTGTGGTTTGCTCTGGGGTGGGTGTCCAGCACAAGTTGTCTTGTTTTTCACCCCAGGTACAGGCAGGGCATTACAGCAACACATGGGTCCTACCCTCCTTGACTGCGAATGAGCCTGGGTGAGTGGCCTGGGGGGTGCGGGGGACCTGAGTCTGACCCCATCTGCTTCTGGCTTTGGAATGAATGGTGCCCCCAACCCCCTCCCTGCTCCACTGCAGACTCCAGTACTTCCTGGTCTGTGGGGAGGTGTGAACCCACCATGGGCCCTGCCTCTGCCCATTGCCCTGCTCCCCTGCCTCACTCTGTGCCTCCTCCTTGAGCTCTCATTGCAGCTCTGGGAGGGTGCAGGTATGTGCTAGGAGTCAGCAGGGAGAGGCCAGCGCAGCTCCTGCAACGCAGTGCTGACTGGGAGCAGAGCTCAGTCTGGGGCAGACTGGCTTGTGTACAGGCATCTGCCCTTCTGCACCTAGCCCAGACAGAGCAGGGTCTGGAGAGAGAGAGAGAGAGAGAGACAGTGAGTGTGTGTGTGTGTGTGTGTGTGTGTGTGTGTGTGTGTGCGCGCGTCCGTCCGTCCGTCCGTCCGTCCGTCCCCTGGATGCCTGGGGAGGAAAGGGGGCTGGGAATGTCCCAGCTGCCTGGTTCTGTGTGTATCCCAACTGCCTGGGGGGAAGGGATGTGTACCGTGTGTGCACGCGTTCGTGCGTGTTCCAGCTGTTGGGCAGGGGGTATGGGTGTGTGTCTCAGCCACCTGGCCACAGGGGGGTGGGAGGAGGTGTCCCAGATGCCTGGGTTGTTTGTGTGCATGTATCCCAGGGAGTTTCCAACAGAGCCTCCTCTCATCTAGGCAATACTTCTATGTGGAGGATGGGATCTGCAAACCGAGCGGTGGTAGCGTCATCAGAGGCTGCCCTTGCACTGAGCGCCAGGCAGCTGGAAGGCAGCAGGTCTGATCTGCTCGGACCTCCTTCCACAGCCTGTCTGATGCATTCCATTTCTATGGAAGACTGGGGTCGGGGGTGACTTATTTCTAAACTTTTTAAAGCTTACTTTGGAAACCTTTTCTCCTGCCAGGCTGTAGCACAAAGAAGCCATCTGCCTCAAACCTTTCCATCTTGTGCAACAATTGACAGTGAATATCGATTTCCCTTCTCTCTCGCGCGCACACTGCGCAGTAGCCTGATACCACTACATAGTAGGGTGCCGGTTAAAAACTGCTAATCTGCTACTGCACAGTGTTATTACACTACTGTGCGGGAGGCATCACAAAGAAACCATGTGCTGGCACTACTGTAGTTACTGTGCATTTAGTTTAGTACTTCATTAAGCAAGTACTAAACTGTAACTACTGTGCATTAATGAACATGTAGATGCGCCAGAGTGCCTTAACAACCTTTGCAACAGCAGCAGGACATTAGGTGCTGTGGCCCCGCTGCTTTCCCTGTGGTAGGATCAGGTGCAATATCTCAGGCTGTCAGGGGAAACTGTGTCATGTTACACAGGGTTTGTCTGGGCTGGTTTGCACACACCTGAAAGTGCTTCAGGCAGTGGGTTCGACTGAATGTGACTGGAGGTCCCATCTAGCTCCATTCCACTACAATTTCTGTGAACACTACAACAATCCCTCTCCCTGTCTAACTCTACCCAAGGAACTGTCCATTCTTTTCTCTTCTTTTTTAAACTAGACTTGTCTTTTATACTCTAGAACAGGATTTTCACGGCCCCTCTTGAGCAAGTTTATCTGATGTACCCACAATGTTTACATCTCTTCCAGGATGTCAAACTGAACATGCCAAAGCTCGGTGCTTCTTCTGCTAACTTGAAACAAAAGGGAAAAACCTAAGTGCCACACTTTCCTAGCAATACATTTTCTATCAACATATTTTTAACTTTTATGACAAAACTTTGGCAATAATGTAGATTTTTTTATGTAGAAGGAAAGAATGTCATTATTTTATGGACTGCACTAAACGTTTGTGGTACTGGAAAAGGGAACCGTCACTGGAACATGTAACAGCTGATGAATGTAAGGGGATTGTGCTCAGGTTTTAGTTACTTTTCAATTAAAAAACAACCTAAAAAAGAACAGGGCTTGTGTTTCGTTGCTTGGGGGGTGGGGGGGAGCTGGGCAGCTACGAGCAGGGGTCATTTTATAACCTCTGCCTGCCTCACTTCAGCCTAGGCCCAACCTCAGGAAGAAAGGGGGTCTTCGCACAAGGACTCTCGTGCAAGGCTGGGGGTGGCAGAGGGGGAGGGGAATGGCACGCAGTCCTCCTCCTACTCTGATGGGATTGGCATCATCCAAAAGGGACTGCACAAGGGTTCATGCAACAGGAAGGTTTTTCACAAAAGAGGGAAAGGGTTAGTAGCAGAGTGAAAGGATAATGGCTTATATTCCCTAGCACCTTGTGCTCCAATGACATCAGTGTTGCACGAGCATTGTAAAAAGGGGCTTCACACAAGGACTTCTGTGAAGAGGTTTTTCACTGGGGGGTTGGTAGCAGTGAGGAAGGGGAATGACATGTAGGCCTTACTGAGGCATTGATCAATATATACTGCACCCACAAAAGCTTTATTAAAGCACTGACTGTCAGTACTCATGTTGCGGACTGACTCAAGCCCACGGTACAGGACAGTTTTAGATATTCAAGATATATCATTTGTTTTGATCAGTGTATAAAAGAATTGGAAAGCAGCCTGGGGGAGCCTGCATGGTGTTGAGCCAACTGCCTTGTCACAGGTACAAATACCTTAGCTCTTGGTCTGACGTATTTGTCAGGTCAAAATGTGCCAGGCCCGTGGTTGTGTGGGAGCCCAGGACCCGGCTCAGCAAGAAACCCAGGAATAGAAAACAGCAGCAAACCATCCACAAGCACCAAGGAAAAGTGGCATGACCTGGTAAGGGGTGGAGTTGCTTCCTAAGCTTCTGTAGGAATGACGGCGGTGCCAGCAAAGTGGCTGGAGCAGCACGGACAGCAGCAGCCCTGCTTTAGAAGTGCACGCTTGCTGCACACTGAGGGGTGTGCTGGGGCAGCTGGTATAACCGGACATCCGGTGCTGGCAGCTGGGGAGGACAGAGCAGCACGGAGTGGGCACAGTGTAGAGGGGGAGCGCAGCGTGCCCCGTGTGCCGAGCACCTAGATACTAGGGCTGTGTGAAATGGCACTGTTCCATTCCGACTTGCATTTCAACAGAACAGCATTTTGTTTTGCATTTTGTTTCAACTCTAAACTGCTGTTCTGTTTCGTTTCCTCGAAACTGTTTTGCCCACAGGCTGTAATGGGGAAGCTCGAAACAGCCTATAACTTTTTCATTTCTGGCCTGATTTGGATGAAACTTGCAGAAATAGTAGCCCCTTCTGAGGGTATAAAGCCTGCCAAGTATCAAGGAGATAGGTGCAGGGGTTTCAGGGAAACTGCACCTCAATTCTTGAAAGCAAAAAACTCATGTCACGTGTATGTGTTAAGCCACAGCAGGGTCAAAACTGCAGGCATGCTAGCCCCTGCTGAGACAACGAAGCCTGCCAAGTTTCAAGGAGACAGGTGCAGGGGTTTGGGGGAAACTGCACCCCAAGCTGTGGACAAGCAAAACTCATGCCATGGGTAACACTGTGCGTGTTAAGGCGCAGCGGGGTGACAGCTGCAGGGATGGTGGCCCCTGCTGCGGCCATGAAGCCTGACAGGTGTCAAGGAGATAAGCACAGGGGTTCTGGGGCCCTGCACCTCTAGCTGCTGACAAACAAAACTCATGGTGTGTGTGTGTGTGTGTGTGTGTGTGTGTGTGTGTGTCCTCACTCAACTGACACCAAGGCAGTTCAAACAATGCTGCCTTTTATACAGTTCTTCCATTCCTTCCCCCAGAGCACGGGAAGTGACCTCAGGGAAGGATGACAGTCGCTGGCCAGCTACAGAGTCAATAATGAGAGCACTCCTTCCACCCACTTCCTCCTCCCTCTTCTCTTCCTTTGAAGGTTGCTTCTCTTCCTTTGGTTTTCATGGCTATGTTTCAGTAGGCTTGGAGCCACTCTTTAAAAGATGTGTCCCATCTCTCCCCATAGGTTGCAGCACTTGCTTCTGGTAGTTTTGCAGCTGCTGGGCAGCCAGTCTCCCAAATGCCAGATGCTCTTCATTTTCAAATGTTGATATATCTAATTTTTTTCCCCCCCCCAAAAAAAATATGTATTTGCACACATACACCACTTCTCTGCCAACATGTCTTCTGACTGATACGGTTCACCTGACAGTCCAAGCCACACCATTGAAGTTGCACCATTCTCATTCCCATTACAACTGCACCATGCACCCATGTATGCAACACCATCATCTTTCCTCATCACAATTACGCAAGCCTGTTATACCATCAAAGTGCCATTACAATAGCCATACCTACACACCCACACGTCCACCACATCTTCTACCCATTACAATCATGCCCTCTACCTCCCCCTTCCCTTTCCACCCCCACCCCTGTGGCTTCTGTTTCCTTCCCCAATCCTCAGTCTGCATTGTCTTCTTCTTCACCATTGTCCTTGTCACTCACCTTGTCATCATCACAGTCCTCATCTTCTTCTTTGTCACCTTCTCTGGGAAGCCTGTTCTTGAACAGTCTGTGCCAGTCTCTTCCATATGATTTCTGCCATCTCCTCCCTATTGTCTTCCGCTGACTTTTTGTAGTACAACTGCATCTTAGCCCAATTTTGACAAAGTCCTCAACTGAGGTCTGTGTGTTTCTACATGAGCAGGTTCCTGGTCTTACACAGGGCATGTCTGAAGCAGGAGATGAACTGGTCAAAGTGAGCTGTCAGGGTCCTTTGCTGCTTGGTTAGGTGTCCAAACAGTGCCGCCTCCCTGGTCAGGGTCTTGACCCTGATCACCATCAGGAAGAATAAGACGACTCTACTCCGCACCTCCCTAGCATATGGGCAGTGCCAGAGGAGGTTCAGGTCCCTGGATACCTTCTGCAGGTCCTTGTGGAAGACTTATTCCCACATGGCCTTGCTGCCATCACTAGGGGACACATCCACAGTCAACATTCTCCCAGGCTTTTAAAAAAAAAGGGCTAAGATCAAGTGTAGTTCCTGGTCTTATCAGTTCAGGGAACAAGCCTTGACCTGCCCCTGCATTCACATGGCAGGGACAGCAAGAACCCCAATTCCAGGAGACCCAGAACCCGGGGTCAGGAGCCGGAAGAACACCACGATGGCAAAAAGAAGCTACCCAGTGAGGTTCCAGGTGAAGCATGGATACCTGCACCCAGGAAAGATGTCAGACGGGATGGGAAGAGAAGACTTCACATGATCCTGTGAGACCTGATCAAGGTAGACATGAAAACTTTACATTACACTATTTGCACGCAGGGCAAGTCAGAATAGGAGTTGGGTTTCAGGAATCCAGACAGCAGGTCAGATTTCTGGCAGCTGCTCAAACTGGTCAGGGAGGACCCCAAAATGGAGGGTTTTGAACTTACTGGAGGAGACACATGGAGGGAACAGATGTGTAATAGGTCCAGGCTGCAGGGATGGCAGTGACACCCCTGTATCGGGGCTGCTCCAGCTCCAAGGGTCCCTCCCTTTTGCCTTCATCTTCCACATCTTGATGCACTGGGTTGATCTGAGAAAGGGAAGGGCCCAAGTGTCCTAGAATCCCAGTTGTAGCCATATTGGTCTAGAGGAAGAGGCAATCAGGACTCTTAGTAGAGATGATCTCTTTTATGAGACCAACCAAGATTTGAGGAAAAAAAGCCCTTAATTGCAAGCTTTCGGGCACTAACACCCTTCATCAGGCATTGGAGAAAAGTTTGTGTCACAGCGGGGTCCTACAGGAGGGCCGTGATCTCCTTAAGGCCCCCTTCCCGTGCCAAGTTGGTCGGCCCCCCTTCCGGTCCCAAGTGGGCCAAAGGGCCCCCTCATTTTCTCGCCCGCCATGTCTTTGATGTTGAAATGTTAGGGAGGCTGCCTTCACATCTTCTCGGACGCGGTTTATCTGTACTCCGAGCCCCATAGGCTCCTGGACCCCTTTGTGGTCCCCATTTTATCATAGGTGTTTCAGGGCACCCTAGCCTTACAGGTTATGCATGGCTCCTGCCACCCCAATACCACACCCCAAGCCTCGCAGATGGAAGAGACGTTGTTCTGTCCAGGTCTACACTCTCTGGGGCTCACCACAATGCTGCCCCCTCCTCTGGAGCTCACCGTGCCCACACTGGGGCTTCTCAGTAATGCCTCTTCTCTGGGGCTGAGGTCTACATACCCTCAATGCTGCACCCTCACTGGCACTGGGGTCCTCACACTCCACTGCAAGTCCCCTATGAGGCCTCCTCCAACCCCTAATAGCCTCACCCAAACCACCGGTGATAAACAACAACACAAAACCCAAGCCCCTAGGCTATAACTTAACTTAAAGCCGCCCAGCTAAAACCACGTTGCTCAAACATCCTAGAGCTGCCATCCTTTACCCAGCTTGAGCTTGAGCTGTACCTGTGATCAGACTTCTCATCACATCTTTGCTCAGGAAGCTCCCTCCTCTCTGACTGCTGGTAGGAAACTACTAACCTGACCTCAGCCCCTGGGCTTTATAAGGGCCAGGCCCTGCCCCTTACAGTCAGCTGACCGCTGGCAGGTGTGATTGCTTCTAGCTCCAGTTGCCCTGGCAACCCACAGCTGGGCTCATCACTCATTCACTGCTAGGGTCCCTTCCCTAGCAGTTTCTCCTCTTTAGGAGCAGGGCACCTCAGTGCTCTGCAACAGTTTGCAAAAGTCCTCCTGGGTAGAAATGAAAGTCTGTATTTCATAGGACGTCACAGAGGAGACAATAGATGGAAAACTCTCTGGGCAGGCAGTTCATAGCCGGTCAGGAGCCTGTCACCTCCTGTGAGGATCTGTGACGATGCAAATTACCTTGAAACAAAGGATCTCCGGTTTCAGGGGGTCACAGTTGCTTCCTGCTTGGGAAAATATGAAGATTTCATTTTAAAAAACCAGCTAAAATCCGATATCTTCCACATGTCAGGTATCCAGGTTGTAGCCGTATCGGTCTAGAGGAAAAGGCAATCAGGACTCGTAGTCGAG